CCCCTTCCTCTGGACCAGGAGCAGTGGGACGATGGCCCAGAAGCCCCTACCTCTGGGCCGGGAACAGTGGGACTCAGTACCTTGGTCTGGTGATCTGGTGTTCTCTGCGTCTTTGTAGTGTGGAACCAGGTGGCTGCCTTTCTGTAGCGGGGTGATTCGGTGTCTTCTGCGCGACTCAGGACCTCTGTAGGGTGTGCACAGACCTTCCTGTGTGCAGTGGGCTGATTCGGCATGTTCTGTGCGACTCAGGACCTCGGTAGGGCATGGGCAGACCTGCCCGTCTGCAGAGGGGTGATTTGGCGTCTTCCTCGTGACTCAGGACCTCGTTAGGGCGTGCACAGACCTGCCTGTCTGCAGCGGGCTGACTCGGCGTGTTCTACTCTGTACTAGTTTTGATGTAAAGCAACATGAATAGAAGTCATGAAAAAAGCATGGGAGTAAATATAAAATATATTAATTGAAATTCCATACTGTAGGGGAAAGAAGATTCATGTTAATTGCCTGGGATGAAGGATGGAATTCAGTTTTGAACAAATTACCTAAACATTGTAGAGTTACTACATGCAGAGTACATTTCCATATATTCCCAGCTGGAGAATGTACCAAGTTCTAAATCTAAGATCCTCCTTTCAAAGCTTACTCTCTTAATTGAGATAAGACAGGCAAGCAAGCGAGTGATCTGTAGCGATCATCCATGTCCAGTCCCTGTGGAGGTTGGCATTACCCAATAAGTACATGGAATAAAATGTTATGAGTCTGGAGGAGGTGTGGGATCATTCATTTAGTCAATCAGTATCTATGGAACAACCTTTATGTCAGCATTTTGGTTTAGGGGTACAGTTACGTCAGGCAAGAGTGCTGCCTTCAGAGAAAGCCTCTATGAAGAGGTGGCTCTTGAGCCAAATATTATGAAGAAGGCAGATACGTTAGGATCTAGGTCTCCAGCAGAAGGCACATGGGGAAGCTCCAGTGGAGGAACTGGCTTGCTGTATTTCAGGAAAGGAAGAAGGTTCGGATCAGGGAGGATGGTAGAAGATAATAGATGGAGAAAGGCCACGGGTCCCATGGCGGTTTGTAGGCCCTGGCACAGGGCTCGATTGGGGCTTTGCGGAAGGCTTTGCAGGAGTTGGAGTTAGTTGATTTGGATGATAAGCACTTTACATGGGTTATGTCACTACTTGTCATAGCCACCTTACAAGAAGGGTACAGTTAGCCCCATTCCCAGATGAGGGCACAGGAAGACTGATCAAGTGTTTTGCTGAAGGGTGGCATATTTTCTTTTGTTTTTTTATTAGAATGTGTTTGTAATGCATAATGATTGCATTTATTGTGGGGAGTTGGTACACATGCATAACACATCTTAATTCTTTTTGTCCTCTTCCCCTCCTATCCCTCCCTGCTCCCTTAACTCTTGTTCCCCTTCCCATTTGAAAAAGCTCTATTTCCATTGTTTCTTCAGTGCTCTGTCTTTATTTAACTCAAAATAAAAAAGCATCAAATGGGCTAAGCACTTCTCACAAGTTTTTCACAAGCCGGGAAAGCAGAACAGTCTTTGCCTTTCTCCCGGAAGACCGCAGAGAAGGGGAAAGCTGACTTAGGGTAGGCATGAGGAGCGAATGTTTCAGTCTCATGGGATAGGATTGTTGTTTTGGTTTGGCTTTGGGGTTAGTGTGTGTGTGTTTGTTTATGAGCTCGTTTGTTAGCTTTTAGCTAAGCCTCCTACTTCAGTCAAGCAGATGAGAGTCTGTGAAGGAGAAACAGTGTTTGCACTCGTGACCCAGCAGCCCCAGGGCAGCAGATCTCCTCGAAAAGGAAACGTGTGGCTCCTCGAGAGTCTCTTCCTGTCCCTGTCGCCCTTTGGGCAAGTCCCACTCTCTATGTCTTCATGTGCAGAATGAGGTGACGGCATGGAGGATATGCGCACTTTGAGTAGGATGAAAAGATCCATGACTCACTTCCCTTTCCTTCCCGCTGAGGTACTGAGCATGGAATAACAGTGTACACTTGACTCAGCGTTGCTCACTGCAGCGTTAGTCAGCCTGTGTGCTTAGGAAGCGGTGAGGACTGCTGAGAGGAGCATGGCCAGCCTCCAGCAGCCGTTGGTGTGCGGGGCCCAGGAGTGCCAGCCAGAAGGTTGATGGGAACGGTTCCTTCCGTATTTAACATGCACAATTCCTGTGGGTATATCCCGGTCCTTGGCTCAACATTTGATGATATTCAGGACTTTCAGTTCATTGTTCTAGGTGTCATAATTGTGGTGTCATTATGTTTCTTAAAACTGTTCTTACCTTTGAAAGGATACACATTGGAGTTTGAACTGATAAAATATGACACCTGACGTTTGCATCAGAATGACCCAAGCCACACACCCATATCCCAACACTCTGGGAGGCTGAGGCAGAAGGATCACAAGTTCTACACAGCCTGAGTAACTTAACAACTTAGCAAGAGCCCGACTCAAAGTGAAAAAATAAGGCCTGGAGATGGAGCTCAGTACAAAGGCTCAGTACTGAAGAAATCTAAAAAAGACCCAGACTGAAGGGATTAATGAGATGATTGGAAACAAGATTAACCATAAGCTGGTAATGATTAAAGCTGGCTGATTGGTTTATGGTGGCTCCTTTTATTTTTCTGTTTTGGTAACTTTTGAAATTTTTTATAATGCAAAAGCTGTTTTCAGTGCATGGTTCTGTACTGCAAGGTGGATCTTTGGTGACAGTGTGGCAAGCTTTAGTGCATAGACCGACTGCGGCCTCCTTGGCGTCCGAGGCTTTTTGGCTCACAGGGAGATCTTAGGCAGGCTTTCCTCGTGTCTGGGAAAGTGGCTGCGTTTCACACACTGGCAAATACATGGCCAGTGCCCAATAAATATTGAAAGAGTAAATGAAACCCAAGAGACCAAAGCCCTGATCTTCTCTCCTTGTCTTTACAGCGGAGCCCAGGGGGAGTATGCTGGCCTGGCCACCATCCGCGCGTACCTAGACCATAAAGGAAAAAGGCACAGAACGGTGAGGAGGGTCGGGTAGCTCCTGCTCCCATGGGGTCGCACTACGCCCAGCTCCCAGGGTCCTGTCTGTACTATGGGATATTTCCTCTGGGCCTTCATAGTAGTAGATGGGGCACATATAATCAGGAAACAGATCTCTGTGAACTGGCCATTTATATTCCTTGCCTCCAAGACACCCTGTTTCACCATATTGAGGGAAATCATTTGGGGATAAAAGGCTTTCTGCTCAAGCCCAGCATGTAGGCTGCTCTCTCCAGGGAGTGAAGCAAGAGGGAACAGGAATGTTACTATTGCAAACCTTCTCCTGGCCTCAGCCCTGGCCTGGGGAGTGAACCAGCAAAGGGCAAAGACCACACTTTAATTCTTCTGTAACCCCTACTGTGGCCAAGCACACTTCTGGTCATATGCATGCTCACAAATATTCAGTGAGTGAGTAGATTCCCCATTAGATGATTTTCAGCTCCAAGCAACAAAAAAGGGGCGCGGAGCAGAGTGAGTTCTGGCTCACTGTTTGCGGTGAGTGTGCATCTAGTCTCCACGTCCAAATCACCCCTTGGGGCCCTTGTGGACCAGCAGGGGCTGATGGTACCACTGATCCCTAGGGTGCTGCCTTTTCATCTAACACAGGCCTCAGGTGATGGCAGAAAGAAGCCTGTGTCCCTGGTCCCTTCCTTCTGGTGGCCAGCAAGTGCTTGGAGTTCCTAGCTACGCTGGGTCAGAGTCAGGGCCAGAGCAAACCCCTTCTAGGCCCAGGAGAGTTTGAGCAAGGGTTACACGGTGGTTCTGGGTGTACAAATCAGTGGTGTTGGGTGAGTGGGGGCTCAGCCTTAGTACATTCCTGGTTTTTTCCAAATGGGAAGATTATTCATGACCAGTGGCTCCAGTTTTACAATGAATTTTCCTTGCAATAAAAAAAAATAAAGGAACATTTTCACTCTCCTTCCTTTGCTTACTCATCTTGGCCCCATAGGTTTATCTTTCTGGGCCTTCATCCTGGTTGGAGAATAGAATTTTTTAGGGGGAAGGTGGTGTTTGGGACAGTCTCACTACGTGGTTCAGGCTGGCCTTGACCTCGCAGTGATCCTCTTCACTGAAGAGTTGGAGGCCACTCCATCTGGAAGGTTGGAAGGGCGTGGGACGCCACACTCCTAGGGATGGAGAGGAGCAGGGAAGACCACCTCACTGAGCTGTGAGTAGTACAAAACTCACGGCCCTAGAAATGTTGGCTTCCTTCTGAATCAAAGATTTTAATTAAAGCAGATATTTCTAGTCAGAGAAGAAAACGACTTACTATTCAAAATAATCAGGAAAGATTTTTCCGTATCAGTGATGTCTGAGGCAGCTGTTCCAACACAATAGACTCTAATGGAATCCAGTAAAATATATCCTGTTTTCAGAAGAATTGAGGGGAAATCATATGCTACAGATTCGCCTGGGTTCCCAGTGGTTCTTTTCTTTCAAGCTGATTTTCGAAGTTATTTTCACAGTTGCTCTTAAGGTTAAATTTCAGAGGTTCCTAAAATGGAATGCCCAAATTCTTGATTTACCAGTTTAATTTGGGAAAATACAAATATATCTAACAAACACTCATATAGCAATTACCGTGTGCTAGCCACTGTCTTAAACACTTTATAATTAATATCTCAATTTGCTAGTCAAATTAACTCAACATTTGCTGATTAGAGACTAGTTTCCTATAAAAAGGGAAAACACCCAGCCCTCTCCCTAAATACATTTTAAAATATGAGAATACTTTTCTCTTCTCAACTGCCTGAGACAAAGTAGTGGCCTTTAGTGTTGGATTTTCTGTGGTAAAATATCACCTCCTCTGCAGGGGAGCACTCCTCCTCAGTCTTTCCTCACTTTGAGGACAATCCATCCATTTCTACCCCAGAGGGTGAGAAAACATTGCAACCACCTAAATGGGCATAAATATACCAAAAGCTGGATACACTTTGGATAAACCAGAATATTAAATCTGAGTCCTTTTACTTCTAGGTCCTTTATAACCCTGAATTTAAAGTGAGGAAGGATTAACATTGTAAAAAATAATTTAAGTTCCTTAAATCCACCTAGAAAATTCCACTGAGAATTTTTCTCTCTGCTACTTTTTTTTGGGGGGTGGGGTAGGGTTGGGGATTTAACCCAAGGTCTTCTCACTGAGCTACTATCCCTATTTTATTGTAATTTGAGACAATACCTTGCTAAATTGCCCAGGCTGGCCTTGAACTTGTGATCCTCCTCCCTCAGCCTTCCAGAGTGCTGGGATTATAGGTATGCTCCACACATCTCTTTACTTTGTCTTTGAATCTCCCTCTGCTCCTCTATGATACAAACAATTGTGAATATATTATGGGCCCAACCAAAACTTGAGAATAAACTTTTCAGTATCCTTCTTGAACTTCACCACATCGGCAGGGTCCCTTCTGCCATAGAAGGCAAAGCCACAGGCTCCAAGGATGACAAGGAGGCTCTCTGTGGGGGCCGTCATTCAGCCCACCACAGAATGGCTGGCGCCTGCTGCTGGAATGGTTTTGTTTCAGCAGAACTTCCCTGGTGTGATTTTTTTTTTTTTTTTTGATACTGGGGATTGAACTCAGGTCCTTGGTTTGCAAAGCAGGCAGTGGAACCACTGAGCTAAATCCCTGGCCCTCTGGTGTGAATTCTTAATTTTGGCCTTTTACGAATATTTTATGTTTCTTTTTAATGTTCCTCTTTCCCTTCCTTTGTCAATATTTTGTCCTGAAGGGATCCTTTCATGAAATGCTCCCCTTGTGGAATAAAAATACTTGTGAGAGGGGACAGTGACTCCAGCTTTGGCCCTGGAAATGAAAGAAAAATGTTTAACTACAAAAGAAAAGCAAGAAAAAGGATCTGAGGACAGCACAGCATAGGACCAACAGCCATCTCAAAGGAGCACAAACCTTCTGTCATTAGAATGACAAAGTAATTCCTTTTTGCCTTAGGTTAAAGCTCACTTTTTGCTCACATGTAGCTTTCACAAGTAGACCACTTTGTTGTTTTTGAGGAAACAGCTGGCAGCTAATTTTTCCTTTGTAATCCTGTTTTTATAATGTCCATCCATTTCTCTTCACTGGGCTTGCAGGCTGGGTATGGTAGCACACACCTGTAATCCCAGCGCTTGAGAGGCTGAGGCAGGAGGATCACTTTGAGTTCGGGGCCATCTGGGCTCCACAGTGAGTTCAAGGCCAGCCTGAACTACATAGGGAGACCGTGTCTCAAATAAACAAAAACAAAAGGGAGCTTGCCTTATTGGTTCTAGAATAAAAAAAGAGGACAATATTTAGGATAAATGTCTTTTCCTTGTCCCTTTGTATTGGGGATACTTTCTATTGGAGGCACTTCATGTTGCTGTCTTATGTGTTGTCCTTTCCATGTGTTGTCCTTTCTGGTGTGTGCATCAGCAACATACATTTGCCTTGATTGATGTGATATTTTGAACAAAATAGAAATACTTTGAATCTCGGAATTCTAACATTGCATCTGCCATCCACCTTCCATAAAAATCCAGTCCCAGGACTGGTATAGCTCAGTGGAAGAAAACTTTTCTAGAATGTGCCAGGCAGAAAACAAACCAAAAAAAAAAAAAGTCCAGTGCATCCTTAAGCTGTAAGAATCTGTAGCTCTTGGGGGTCTTTCTCTTGATCTCTTCCACTTGAAGCCTCGGCTTATATTTTCAGCTTCCTGCTGTGCCTCTGGACTTACCCTGTGCCAGGGTTCTCATTGAACAAGCATGGGAGCATAGGCCGCCAGTGATTACTTTGATGATTCTCATGGCAGCCAGCCCTTCATTGCAGAGTAAGCATGTAGTAAATACTGACATAATAGGTGTGTTGGACCAGCAGGCACCAGGTTATGCCTGTCTTCATTATCTAAGCCAGGAGGAATGCCGAAGCTGGGATAAGGGCATTTTTGAGTCCTAGAGTTTACTTCAAATCTCTTGTTAAAAAGTGAGATGGCTTCTATATGTTATAACTGAGACAAGGTTAGACAAGGTTAGAATAATAAGCACAGCTTGGTTTTACTATGCTTGGGTAATAGACATTTTGGACATTTTAAGGGAAAAATATTGGATTCTAATAGAGATTCCTTTTTCAAACATTGTTTTGTAATAACAGTAATAGTAATTACATTATTGCAGATTTTAAGGTGCTAGTGGTCAGCGTAAATAAAAGTATATGGGGCCTATTTGTGCTGAAGCATGTTGTGGGACTTTTTGCCATTTTTCATAGGCTGGTAATATTTTTTTCTCCTTTTAACTCCCTTCCTTTGTATTCTCAAGGTTTGCCTCATTCCGAAATCAGCACACGGGACCAATCCAGCAAGTGCCCACATGGCAGGAATGGAGATTCAGCCTGTGGAGGTGGATAAATATGGAAATATCGATGCAGCCCACCTCAGGGCCATGGTACTCACCTTGCCTTGATGGATAGGAGAGGTCTGGGTTGGGAAGAGGTGATGAGCACTGGGACCAGATGGGCTGTGTAAACATTGTCTCCTCCTGCGTTCTAATGAGAAGACGGCAGTTCTTCTTTTGAACGGGTCTGGGAAGAAATGGTATGAGATCGGAAAACCTGACAGACTATAAGAAAAAAATGAAAAACAACAGTCATATTTTGCTCCCAATAAAACTGACCATGCCTACTCTGTCTAACCCTCCCTTCAGCAATTGGGAAAATATCTGTTCAGCTGAAATCCTTCCCCTATAATTCATGCCTCTGTGTAAGATACTGGATGAATTATTCATGGTGGTGGTAAGAGTACTTCTTGCAGGACCTGCATGCGTCTTTCTGCCCAAACTTCCCTAGCCTTCCCTGCCCTCCCTTCCACCCTCATTTATAATCAGACTGGTGGTCACAGTTACACTCCATCAGAGTGTTGCGCATTAAAATACAAATATAGATTTTGCAAGTGTTTTCCTCTGTCCTGGTCATACTGTGTTGAATTCCAGGCGGCATTCTTCCCTGTCTCCTCCAACACCAACCCCCACTTCCAACCTCCCAACCTCCAGGAAGAGGTTGCTTAGCAACTGTATCTGCTTTCCACCAGTGGACTGGAGGCTGCATCTCAAGAGGGACGGAAATCAGTGGAATAGCAATGTGATTTAGCATAGAGACTGGGAAGCTCATCTAACGTCCTTCAAAGGGAAGCTGAAAATACACAATGCTGCTCATCTCTTCCAACCACCCCCACTCTTCCATTGCCAAAGTTTTTTTTTTTTCCTAACAGATATTCTAGGCCAGTATTTATAAAATCTTTCCAATATAGGATATGACTTTATTCTCCCTTTTCCACTTGGCCCTGGTCTGATTTGCTGGCTAGGAAAAAAACCTAAACTAAAAAACCAGGAATGAGCCTGGTTATAATATACACTTTATATTATATAATATATACTTGCCTTGTGCAAAAAGGAAAAGTAAGGGATATGTTTATCAGAACTTCTTGTGGAGAATCTAACTTCCAGCACATGTGAAGGAAAGAGGTTAGGGAAGGGCAGGACAAAATGAGAAGACAGTAACTGTGAGAATGGATATGTCAGGAACAAAAGTAAACCTGAAATAATTATCTGGGTGACTTAATCAAAGGGAAACTGTCTTACCAAGTTGGGCCCAGAGTGTTCAAACTGGCTCTTGACCATAGAGCTGTATCTTGAAGGGATCTCGCTACTTGTTTGTAATGATTATGAGGAGTAGAATGGTTATAAAGACCAAGGCTTTTATACTCCTTTCACATAAGAAGGTTTGACTGTGAAAAAAATACCCACCTCTTTTCCCCCTCTCCTCTTCTGCACAGGTTGATAAACACAAGGAGAACCTGGCTGCTATCATGATTACCTACCCGTCCACCAACGGAGTGTTTGAAGAGAACATTAGTGATGTGTGTGCCCTGGTCCACCAACATGGAGGGCAGGTCTACCTTGATGGGGCAAATATGAATGCTCAGGTGGGGACCCTCAGAGGGGCTCCCTCTAGTTTCTGCTGAGAAACGGAGCTTTAAAACATTCCAACCCTCACCCTCTAGCTTCTGGAGGGTCCTTTTAAAACATGACTCTGGCTGAAGCACCCCAACGCCATTGGAATTACAAGTGAAAGAGGTTGCTAGGTAGGAGGAAAAATACGTTGAAAAGAAGCAGAGGTGAGCTGAGCGTCCTTAGGTGGTTGGGGTGTGCCGTGCCCTGCTGGGTCCTGCCAGGCAAGGTCTTCCAAGTGCCTGGCTGAAGAACTTTAGATGCAAACTCTGGCCACTGGAGGCTGCTGATTTTCCGTAGCCTTCAACAAACTGCTGCAGCTGGTTTCATCTTTGTCAGCTGTAAAACAGCAGCCCAAGCGGTCTGATCCCGACTCCTCAGGGGAACAGAGTGTCTGCATGATGGAACCTCCTGGGCGATGCTGTTGGCAGCCATTGGAGAGTCTCATGGGGAGTCATCTCAGCTTCCTCCCTCCCTCCTTCTCTCCCTCCCTTCCTTTAACCAAATGGTTAAAAGACTCTGCTTTTCTTTACTTCTGACTGACTCCTTTCATAAGTGTAGTCAGTAGCATAAAGCAAATATATTCATGTCCATAATCAAATTAGCGCTAAAGCTAAAGTGGTAGTAACACTGATTGGGTGTCATGACTGCTACCTGGATTGTCTCAGGAAAACTGGCAGCCTCTCCCCACCTCCCCCAGTTTAGCATCCTCTTTGGTACCCTCCAGGCCCTTATATCAGTGTGCATGAAGGGGCCATGTGGTAAAGCACATGATACATAGAGCTGACTGCTGCACCTGGTGGTGCACATCTGTAATCCCAGCACTCAGGAGGCTGAAGCAGGAGGATTGCCATGAGTTCCAGGCCAGCCTGAGCTATATAGTGAGTTCAAGACCAGCAACTACAAGACTCTCTCTTAAGAAATAAAAACAAAATAAAACAGACAAAAAAATACCTAGAGCTGAACATGCAGGGGATGGCAGTCCTTCCTGGGGTGGAAGTCAGCAAGAACTGACCTTGAGTCAGTGAGGTTTCCTCTCCCCCCTCTTGGGTTGGATAATTAGGAATAGATTGCATGTTCAGATCTATATTTTTTAAATCTAAACTGAGCTAAATGGCTAGTTGCTGTTTGCCTAGAAACTACAGCCACTGCCTGTGGGATGCCAGGGTGGCTGCAGAGCTGGTGGGTGTGGAGGATATTTCCGAGCATGCTGCGGCCAAGGCTCTGGGAGGAGAGGCAGCACCAAGCGGTCGTGGCCTCTGCCCCAGGGCCCCTGCCAAACTCCTGATGTTTGCTTTTGGCTTTTTCCCTTTGTGGTAGGTGGGAATTTGTCGTCCTGGAGACTTTGGGTCTGATGTCTCACACCTAAATCTTCACAAGACCTTCTGCATTCCTCATGGAGGAGGAGGCCCTGGCATGGGGCCTATCGGAGTGTGAGTTCCATTCCACTGGCTTCAGGATGGCTCAGGAGCCAGAGTGGCCCCAAGTCTGCTATTCTTCCTGTCCAGTTTTCAATGTCAAGGGCACCTTCACATTGTCCTTATAGGGGCCAGGGATAGAGCAGTGAAAGGTGGTTTTAGGGTGCTCCCTAGATTTTAGTCCCCATCAGCCTAAACACCATGGGTTGCCTTGGGCCTCTCTGAGTTCCTAGTCATGAATAGACAGAGCAGGTTTATTAAAATAGTAATTAGGGCCAGGTGTGGTGGCACACGCCTGTAATCTCAGCACTTGAGAGGCTGAGGCAGGAGAATCACTGCAAGTTGAGGCCAGCCTGGGCTACATAGTGAGCTCCAGGCCAGCCTGAACTACATGACAAGACCCTGTCTCAAAAAAAAAAAAAAAAAAGAAAAGTAATTAATAGAGAACTTTACTTGAGTATTAGGTATTAGAAGTGAAATTCTGGCACCTGGAAGTATCTTTCAGACTTGAACCTAGATTTCCAAAATACCTTTTGACTCCTCCCCTCACATGCACACCCTCGCCCCCCCCCCGCCGTTATATTGAATGAATTATGTGAAAGGCATTGAACACTTTATAGCCTGAATTCTTATTACATCTGAGGTTAGTAAGGAGAAAACAAATCTTATTACAAGAAATAATTTGATGAAGTCCAAATAAGATGGAAGGAATATTGCTTAGCTATTAATATGGTAAGGGCAGCCTTTTCTAGAGCTGCTTCAGTCTTCCAAAACTGTGCCAGAAGAGCCAGTTTCAGGACTTCTGGGAGCCTCGATCTCCTTTGTTCTGCGTTTCTCTGATGGATGTGTAGTGACTGGGTGAGCCCAATGCCCAGGAGAGGGAGGGGTGGCGATGGTGCTCAGTATTGGGCTCCAAGGCGCACCCCCTGCGGAACCTTCTCTACTCTGTAGATACCTTGGGAGGGTGTGGGGTGAGGGGTGGGGGGCTGGGGCACCCCCACATCTTGGTGAGCGCATGGCCTTCGTGCTGTGCATGGTTGCTCACCTGTGCCAGATCCTCCACCGTGCTGCTTGGGTGAGCTGCCAGCATGCTGGTGGCCGGTGGAGGAAGAATGAAAGAACTGACTCTTTACAGGTCCTCCTGCTGTCAAAGTTTCTCTGCTAAGAGCAGGGCTTCTTGGGTGGGCCCACAACTTGCCTGTTTTGTTTGACTGGATCTTTTTATATCTTCGGAATATGTGCTTTACAAAATCCAGGAAGAAGCATCTAGCCCCCTTTCTTCCCAGTCATCCCATCATTTCAGTAAAGCCGAACGCGGCCACCTGGCCTGTGGGGACCGTCAGTGCAGCCCCATGGGGCTCCAGTTCCATTTTGCCCATTTCGTGGGCTTATATTAAGGTAAGACCTGAGCAGGTGTGTGTAGGAAAGCAAGGGCTGGGATGTGCGAGTGGGGGCTTGGGACTGGTAGCTTCCTTTCAGGTTAAAAGTGAAGACATGCACAATCTGAGGTGTGGTTCAGTGAACATTGCTGATGACTTGGGTAAAAGAAACCTGCCTAACCTGATCAGCTAAAATTCATTTCATCTCTTCTTTTACACCATTTCCTTTGGGTTCTCATAGTGCGTTTAACATCAGAAACACTGACGTGTCAGATGTATTATTTTTCCAGACACAGTTAAGTTCCATGAGTCACATGGATGTTCCGGCCACACTGGTTTCCTGTAGGATTTAGACAGCAACTTGCAAATGAAAAGCAGTGCACATGCTAGTTATGACACTCTTTTGAGATCCTGGGATAAAGTTTAGGGCTACATCTCACTTCGCTTTGTATTTCTTGGCAGTCTGGAGATAAGATGAAAAGTAGCAGAAATTTGGTTATGTGGTAGTTTCCAAAAGCTCTTTGCTCTTTAGGGCTTGTGGAGCTGCCTACTCAGGGGTAATTAATCTGCCAAAAAACAGGCTCCCTTCCTTTGTCTTTCTCCAAAAAACACTAGGACCAGTGTTGATTTTATACAGCTCTTGTTCAAACTGGCCTGCCCACCTCCTGGATTGTCAAGCCCATGGTCAGGACGCTTGTTCAGCTGCTAATTGGTGCTGCTTCTCCAAACCAGTGGCCCTCTCATTAAAGGAAGGGTGGCTGCTGGTGAAACAAAACCTCAGAGCTCAGCTGTGCAAATCATGCTGATGGCTCTGGTGCTGGCTATTACTCTTGAACACTGTGGCATTTATGATTCTTAATGAAAAGTTTCTTAGGCTCTGGAACAACAACTCAGTACCTCAGAAACTGGGAATTTGTTTTTTAAAATAGTACTCAAGTTGTTTCGCAAATAGTACATAATAAAACAACCAGAATAAAGGTCTGGGTTTTGTTCAAACAGAATCAAATTTCCATTTCCCTTGGATCCCTGGGTTTTGTAAATCTGGCTGACTTGTACTGACATATTTGGGTTGAGGATGATTTCTCACATATAGAAAATAAATGCCCCATGGCTGATATAGCTGTATGCCTAGAATACCAGCCAGAGCCTTAGTTAAAAACTAAATAAAGTAGCATTTAAGATAGTTCTCTGACCTTGGGCCTTCTCTTTCTTCAGGCTGTAGTTACTTATCCCCAGACTCTAGTGTTATATCTCTTCTCTCCCCGCTCTAGCCATCTTGGACCATAGCACTGGTAGACTTCCCCTAGGGGCCCCTGAGCCTCTCTCAACTTCCTAGTGCTTTGTATATGTGCTGCCGAAGGGAGCCCAACTTCCTAGTCCTTTTACCACTGGTTCCTACTAGCACATACCTTGGCCTTCTTGCAGAGAACGTAAGATACAGCATATGTGGGGCTTGAGATATCAGCATTTTGAGAATGATGCTAAGTGACTGATATTTAGGTGGAGAGACAGTAGTGGGCTGAACTAAATCCAAGTCCTTGGTAATAAAGGATCTAGGCTTAGAAGGTAGAGATACTGTCCACCCTGCCCTATCATGACTCCTAGGTGACAGTCATATGCCTTCTTCCACACTTTGGTTTTTGCCATTTTTCTCACTTGGAATACCTCCCCCTTTCTCTTTTGCTTGTCCAAATTCTTCCCATTTTTAAGATTCTAGTTCTAACTTTTGCTCTAGGAACCTTTCTTTGAGTAATTTGGGGACATGTGACTTCTCCTTACTTTGGATTTTGGGGTCATTATTGTTTATTTGATGATTTTTCATTTGCTTTACATTAGTTATTTATTATTTATTTATTTATTCTTTGGTATCGGGGATCGATCTTGAGACCTTGTGCTTGCAAGGCAGGCAGTGCATATTAGTTATTTAATATGCATCGATCCTACATTGTATATGAGATCTTTTGGGAAGAAAGTAGACAATGAAAATTGGTGTAGTGTTGATATTAAGCTCTTTATTAGTGATGATGTCTACCCTGTATGATCATAGGGACTTAAATACACTAGAATAGGATAGAATTTTTTTAAACAATAAGGTGATTTATTAAGTTCTCCAATTATAGTTAATACACAAAGTCAGAAGATTTATTACATAAACATTAAGTTTTATATGAACTGTAAAAAATTTATATAGATCTAAATGAAATCTGTCAAAGGCCTAAACTATAGTTCCAAATGATGACCCTTGGGAAAAATCAAAAATTTATATAGAAAATGTAATGAAAAATTTTTTCACTAATATTAGCACAATAAAATACTCAGAAATAAGGTTAACCAAAAATTAAAGAACACTTATAGAAGAAAACTGTAAAACACTATTGTGGGGCTATGAAAGAAGTCTTGAATATATAAACTACTTTATTCTATTTTTTTTGTGAGAAAAATGTATATTTAGAATTAACCAGCTGGACTCAGTTCAGATGATCTCAATTTTGTTGGTGACATTCAAAGCATTATATTTAGGAGTCACAGTCAAACATATGCCTTCTTTTTTCCATGGGGCCTGATCAAGATGTTGACCTTGGTCATGTCAGTGTTACAGAGCTCCTTCACAGCCTTCTGATACAGTGCTTGGTGGCTAGAACAGGATAAGATTGAACCTGGCAATAGTTAAATGGCTGTCACTGTAGACAACAGGAAGTCATCCCACACACAGTTGATTCAGTGGAGAGTTTGACCAAGATCACATGGGATTCCTGGCAGTTAATCAGTATATCTCAAATTCACAGTAAAATAAAGATGACCCCAAACACAACCTAAGAATGGTTCTTTTTATCTCTTTAGATAATATAATAGCCAATAATCAAAGTTACCTTATTGTAGGCATTAATATTATAATAAATTTTAAATTAGCACTTAAAGAACAAAATCAAAAATTATCAGGTTTAGTGAAGACTGGCAGATAGTCTTCTTAGGATTTTCCATTCACCCTTAATCCACAGTTATAGTAGTCTGGCATCTTCTTATGAAGGGTGGACTTCAGCTGGGAGTGTGTGGTTAGTAAATGCACCACTGGATTCACCTGTTCAGAGATTGATGGCTCTTTTTCTCTTTGTTGCAGATGATGGGAAGCAAGGGCCTTAAACAGGCCACAGAAATTGCTATATTAAATGCCAACTACATGGCTAAGCGATTAGAAGAACACTACAGGATCCTTTTTAGGGGTGTGAGAGGCAAGTATCAACTTTAGATCACCATCACCTTGAGCTTGGCTTTGTTTTGTTTTTGGCCAAACTAAGATGTGATTTTATGAAGTGGGAGGGAGACTTATATTTCTTAAATTGAAAACAACTTCAGTTTAGTAAACAGTATTATGTACAAGGCACTTAGTCTTCACAGCCCAATTCAGGAAGGAGCCTACACCTCTGAGATATGTGTACATCAGTACCATGAGCTAATTCCCCACAAAGTGCTATATAGTATGCTCCCCAAAAGAAGGGCAATCCAGACTGGGCAAAATAGAGTGGAATAGTTGAGAGAGCCTTCTTAGGGGGAGCAGCTTCAGTTAACTTGGGAGGAAAGTAGCTGGCAAGATCTTGACTAAACTGGTATAGGAGCAAGCCAGGGAAAAGGGAGTTGCCCGGGCAGCTGGATTTGTGGTTTAAAGGGTGGGACCGGAAGAAAGGGAGCCAATGGAATCAGAAGGGAAAGGTAGTTTGAAGCCTTGAAGGTCTTGGAAGGCTCTGGATTTTATTCAAATCAGACAACAACCATGAAAGGATTTTGAGTGGAGGAATCATGGGATCCATCAGGAGATAGCAAGGACTGAGTATGTGGCTCTGTGGTAGAGTGTTTGCCTAGCATTTGCAAGACCCTGAGGTAAATCCCCAGTGCCGCTAAAACAAACAAAAAAACCTGACAGTGGCAAAGAATGAACAGGCTCTTAGAAGCACAATCAGTTGAGTGTGAAGAGAAGTTTTAGGCAAGTCTTATGATAGAGGGCTAATGGGTGGGTGAACAAAGTAACCCTAGAAATGAGGGGAGGTGATGGAACCCAGTTGAAGAGTAGGGATTTGGCTATGGCCCCAGAATCTAAGGGCAGAGTCTTACGAAGTGGCCCAAGGAGTGTTGATAAATGAGAGCAAGACATCTCCAGCAGATGCAACATTAAGAAGCATGTACTGCTGAGGAGGCAGACCATGCCTAAGGCAGCAGCAGCTCCTCTCCCTGGAAAAGCCCCTGCTTGTCCTTCACCCATTCCCAAAAGCCCTACCTATGAGCACATGAGGCTTGGGGGGCCATCTAGATATAAGGCATAACACCCACAGACAAGTGTGTGTGGTGTTCCATGACAAGGAGAGCCAGGCTTTAATGAGGGGATGGTTTTATTTTGTTTTGTGCATTTATATTTTTCCCCAGCTTGAGGTATGATTGACAAATTTGTTTTTTAAAAGAGTGCTTGATTTCAACAATTAGGAAGCCGTTAATAGTGTTTGAAAGTAGTTTGGACAAAATGGAGACACATGCCAGGCAGAAGTGGAAATGGGCTAACAAATAGGCAGCAGTTGAAAAGGGAGACATGTTTGTGGTTTGGAAAAATTTGGAAATGGAAGGAGGTGGAGACTGCTTCAATAGGGTGCAGGTATATGTTCTTTTAAAATATGGAAACAATGTGATTTAAGCTGTCAAGGAAAAGGCTATGAAATGAAGTAAAGCTACGGTAGACAGAGTAATAGATTGGTGAACAAAGTCACCTTGAATGGTAAAGTCTGGAACTAAGGACCAGACGGACCTTTGGAAGGTTGGCATGGGTGCAGAATGAGCGCAGTGCGGAGTTGGAGTTTGGAGTTGTTAGAACAGCAGTCACCAGCGTGCCCAGACTATGGGCAATGCTAGCAAGGCCCCTCTGGGGCTCTTGGTTTCTCCAGCCCAGGCCAAGTGTACATCTACGCTGGTGGTCTTTAAAAGTTGGCTTACCTTATGAATACGTATCTGAAGGGGTAGTTCTGGCTGTGTGTGATGGAGCATGCTGGTAATCCCAGCTACTGGGGAGACGGAGGCAGGAGGGTCATAAGTTTGAGGTTGAGGGGCTGACTCAAAGTAAAATACAATAAAATTTTTAAAAGGCATAGAGTTCAATTGTGGAGCACTTGCCTTAGCATCCTTCAGGCCCTAAGTTCAGTCTCTAATACCACAAAAAAAAACAAAAACAAAAAACCGAAGTGGTGTGGGAATCAAAAACAAGAAAGAGCTAAATAATCAGAAGCTGTGGTTAGAAATGCTCCCTAAAAGCTGGCATGGTGGCACCAGCCTGTAATCCCAGCACTCTGGGAGGCTAAATTGTGAGGATTGCAAGTTTGAACCCAGACTGGGCAATTTGGCAATTTAGTGAGACCCTGTCTCAAAATTTAAGAAAGGGATTGAGCCCACAGGACCAGTACCTCACCTACACACACACACACACACACACACACACACACACACACACACACTCTCACACACTCTTCCCTAGAGAGAGTGGAAAAGAAAGTTTGGGCAATATGTTTCTAAGGAACACAGTAAAATGCTTCTGAAGTGCGTATTAAAGTACTACTGGAGCTACTAACTAAATATAGCTTCTGTGCTGTAAAATGTGTCTTGTGCATTCACTTTAAGAATTAGGCTAAATATTTATTTTGTCTGGTTATAAAAGTAATGTATATTATTCAACATAGAGAATTTGGAAAATAAAAAGCATGAGGAAGAAAAATTAAATGACCCATGCTTTCATCAGTCACACAAAGCCAACTAATATTCATCTTTTATATAATTGAGATCATACTATGTTTTTCATCCTGTTTTTTAACATTATCCTATGAGCACTTTCCCATGTCATTAAATATTCTTTACATTGCCTATGTTGATTCCACTGATTCAACACACCCTGAATGAATACACCCTGATTTAACCCATTCTGTAATTTTCTTCTCAGCAGTTTACAATGATAACAGTGCTGCGATTTATTTAAATTTTTTACAAAACATTTCTCATTGTATCCTTAGAGTCATAGAAGGGACATTACTCTCTCAAGTTATGAATGCTGTATGGCTTCAGTTTTTTCCCAGAGACTTTCTTCTAATTGATCTTCCACTAATATCATGTGAGAGTGACCATCACATCAGGGCCTACTGAGCACAGAGCACCAGACTGAAAAACAGCAAAAGTTTATGTGTGTGTGTGTGAAATTGATGGATGAAAAATGATCTTACTGTTTTACAGCGCATAAGTTTTTCTCTAATTGCTTAATTCTTTATATTTTAAACCTTATACTTTAAATTTTCTTATATTTAGTTTTGTTTTTCTTGTTGTTAAATTCTTTTATTGGTACATTTTAGGTATACAACACAATTACATTTCTCATTGGGAATTGTACCTTTACATAATGCATCTT